CTTTTGGTCATTCATTTATCCCCGCTAATCTGAGGAAGACTTTTTGTTGTCCCTTGTCTCTAACATGCTGTTAAATAATACATAATCTGAATAGCTGAGATGCTTAGTGACCAAATTGTATAAAGAAAAGTAGCTCAACTTCTGACACACAGCGATATGTGAAAAGTGAAACTAAGTTTATATGATTTGCAGAAAGTGTGCAATAATTGTTTTAAGTAAATTAGGCAGGTGCATAAATTAGGACACTGTTGTCATTTTATTGACTCCAAAACCTTTAGAACTAATTACTGGAACTCAAAACTGGTTTGGTAAGCTCAGTGACCCTTGACCTCCGTACACAGGTGACTTATATTATGAGAATGAGTATTTACGTAGGTAACTGTGAGTTTCCCTCCTCACTGAATATTCTCTGAAGAGTGGGGGTCTTAAAACAATTCTAAAATGACCTGAAAACAAAAAATGTTCACCATTATGGTTTAGGGCAGTGGTTCCCAACAGGGGTATGCATACCCCTAGTGGTCCGTGAGAGCATTACAGGGGGTACACAGATTTCTCCTTGAGTTACATTTGACAACAAAACGAACATTTTCTTGTGTTGAAAAGGAATTGACGCAGTTTAATCTCCACGTGTAGGCTAAAGCCTGGTTTATGCTTCTCCGTCAGCTCCACAAGGGACAGACACGCACGGATTGAGGGAAGCGTTTTGCTCTATTACTTCTCCGTCTCCTGGAGAGTGTTGCAAAGCAATTGCCCGGCAGGACCACAGAGGGCGTAGCGCTGTTCTGTGGTATCCTGTCATGTATCGGTCCAAGATCGTGTGTTTATATTGTGTTTTTTGTGTTTATAAGAGACTTTTAACACGGACATATTTGTCTCTCATTCTCCCACCGCTTCATGCGCTCCCCACCTCTAAACCCACGTTTTCTGTCATTTCTGTCCACAAATAAAATGCTTGCTGTGCATCTTTTCACTCCTCCAGTCACGGGAGAATTAAACATTCATATTTTTAGAGTTTTTTCGCGAGGTATTCTTCAAGCTTCTCTGTGTCTGCCGCTAGTTATCCTCGGCTCTCTTTGCAATGGCGGCGTTGTAAACAACAGCGGCGTCCTGTCCAATCACAAGCTTGCGTAATCCGTCTCGTTCGACGGATGTTTAAAAAAGTGGGCTCGACTCCATATGTACTTGCGTTCCTGCCGGAGCCCTACGCAAGGACGGATAATGGCGTTGCGTGTCTCCGCACTGACGCAGACGGAGAAGCATAAATCAGGCTTAAGCTAGGAGCTAATTATGCTTACTGTAAAGAAATTATCTGAATTGTACATTTACTTATTTTATGCTGTCCACATTTTTACTAATTAAATTAATTCGAATGGAAGAAGTATTTGAAGCTTTCTAAACTAATCTCCTTTTCTTTGTGTCAAACTGGTGAGACAAACCTTTGTCATCTGATGGTTTTTTCACACCGAAAATAACTTTTCTCACAGTTTGAAAATAAGCACTTTCTTGACATCAAAATGTGTTTTTAAAATTCATTGACATCATATGTGAAATCCATGGAACACATCAAATGGGATCAGCAGACCTTTTATCCTTACTCCCATTTATTTATTTTTTGGCAGTTTACATGCATTTAAATAATATCAGTTCATTTAAGGCCTTAACTTGTTTATCGATGTTATGTGTTAAACACCCATCCTCTATGTTTCCAGTTATTCACATGGAATTCAGTGGTTATTTACTAACCGAACTAGAATCATCCCTATGCAACCCAAAACTGATGCAGTGTAATGATTTTTTAAAAAATAGTGTTGCCTGAATCACAGGAATGATTTTAAGATGGCAGCAACACACTGGAGAACTGGTTCTAGAAGGAACTTTCAAAGTCCACCGGGCCAAAAACGAGAGAACGCTCTTCCTGTTTGACCGCATGCTGCTCATCACCATACGCCGTGGAGAGCACTACATCTACAAGAGCTTCTGCTGAGCTCAGAACAGCCAGTGGAACACTCATCTACTTCACCAGCACTGGAGCCACTCAAGAAGCAACCTAAAGTGAGTAATACAATAATTATTTATAACTTTACCCAGGCACGAGCTTCACAAAGACTGTTGTTTCTGATTTTACAGCTTTTGTGTGTGTAGGTGATGTTTGTGCTGCATGACAGGGATGAACGCATACAACTGTGAGGTGCAAACTAGGGCTGCACTAGCCTAGTGAACTAGACCAAATTCTTGCTTTGCAAAGTTTGGTCTAGGCATGCTCCATTGGAACCTCAGCAGCTCCTACCAGGACTCTGGCTAGCCAATCACAGCTCTCTAGAGGAGTTTCAAACTAGGGCTGTAGCGAAGCCTCGACGAAGTCGATGGCTCGATTCTAAAAATTTGTCGACGTCAGATCCGGAAGTCGACGCACCGCGCCCACTTGTTGCATCCCCAGGAGTTAGTAAATAGAGGAGGAATCTGCCTGTTTTTCCTCTAGTTCGCCCTCTTCTCCGCCTTCACTAACATCTCCGCCAAATACCGAAGGCCCGGAACAACGTCCGTCCACTACTAGATTATTTTCCTGTTTTGCCCGCCTTCGTCTCCCAGCAACGGACAACAACTTCCGGGGTCAGATGCGCTGCTTCGTGTCTATCGCAGATGTAGAACATCACCGGGAGCGTTTCTCCCTTCATTAAGGAGCTTCTTTCAGACAGTAGGAGAGCTGTTTTGGTGGTAGCAGTCTCTCCTCCGTGCTGGTCTGTTTGCTGCTGGGTGTTTTTGGTTTATTTAAACTTGGTAACTTGAACTTAACGTTGGTAAAGCTACTGTTAGCATCTTCGCTAACAGCTTCTTGCGTTGGGATAAGCTGTTACGTTTTGGTTTAGAGTTCATCTTTTTTGTGGTGTAGATCTCCCTTTTATTACATTTAGAGTGTTGTGGGTTTTCGGTTTAGTGTAAAATATCACCTGAGTTTGGTTTAACCCGTAAGACCACTCGCCTCACGCACATAAGTGACCAAAACAAAGCAGCATGGAGACACTCCATCTTCTACCACCTCTCAGGCAGCAGCCTGCACTCCCAAGTTCTACATGTCACCAGAACATAACCAACCGCAACACAATAAACGCAGTGTTATAAAAAAATGGAAGGCCTGTAGTGTTTATTCTCTTACAGTAACAATTTATCAATTTTTTTGAGGAATTTATTTGAGATTTTCTGGTTTTTGTTAATTGTGCAATAGAAAAATAATCATTAGATTAATTTTCTAAATAGTCATTAGAATAGTCGACTATTCGATAAAATAATCGTCAGAATAATCGTTTTAAAAATAATCGTTTACCCCCCAGCCCTATTTCAAACACATAAAGAGCTGCGATTGGTCCATAATGGTGGGCCAATCATAGTGCTCTATCTGCTTAGTGAACAAATCACAGAACTTTATCCACTTTGTGGGCCAATCAGGGCACTCTATATGCCTGGTGGGTGGGATGATGCAACAGAGTGAAACAAGAGTATGTCACATTCATTGTCCAGTGGAATGCGGAGATCATTTGAAAGACAACGGTAGATCCCGCCCCACAACCGAGAGCCGTCAATGGAGCATGGCCAGACTAAATAATACATTTATTTAGTCTGGCTTGCCAGGCTAGGGCTGCACGACATTAAGAAAACCTGCGATGTGCAATAACAGTGATTTATATTGCGATGACAATAAGACTTGCAATAAATAAACAAATACCTAACTCAAGAGCAAAGAAAAATAAATAAAAAAATATGACTTAAAAATATCTTAAAGAGCAAGTCACCCCTACCAGAGTCTTACTCCACTCCCACTACAAGACCGAGAGGGCGGAGCCACTAACAAACACAGAGGCTCACAACGACACTGTGACATCATAATGTACCAGCTAACGTCACAGTGTACCTCTTAGCCAATAGCAATAGCAGATTTAAATTCAAATGCAGTGCAGAGTTTTTACCTGACGACGGCGCAACACTGACAGTTTTAGGCAGATTGTTTAAATTTTAACTAAGATGCACTAAAGTGCCAAATTATTGCCTTCACTTTCCATTTTTGGTTCTTTTTTAAACACAGATAAGGTTTTTCTTTACCTTGCTGACGGTTCAGCGACAGCCCTAAAGATGTTTGCAGCCACAAACGAAACCGTCAGCAAGGTAAAGAAAAACTTTATCTGTGTTTAAATAAGAACCAAAATTGGAAATAGAAGACAAACACAGCAAAAATGTACAAAAGATTGACTACACATGTCTACAGCACGATTAGACACTCATTTATATCGTTTATAAACAAAAAAGTAGATTTAGGGGTGACTTGCCCTTTAAATAATTGGAAAAGCAAAAAATTTTATCAAAAGTTGTGAGGAAAGGAAAAGGAAAATGAACAGGAAAGGGCAATCAATGGATCCTGGGAACCGCAGAATCAGCATAAAGAGCAGGGCAATGTTTGCTAGCCATCCAAGTGCTGTCAGCCTATAGGGGGTGGGCATCTAATGTATGAGAAGCCACCTAATTGGCCAAATGGGTGAAGAGCTCTATTTGATTTATCAAATACTTCATGCTTCTGTTTGGTTGAAAAAATAGTATTATATGTAGTAAACATTTGATCTGACCACTCACTGCGCTTTTTTCTGTTCGTTGCAATATGCGTATTGCGCGTGGTGATATTGCGATTTATTGTGCGGCACTAGCACAAACCACAAAGTATGATCTATGTTAGATGATGTAAGTCAGACTAAACTAGAACCTCCTTGTCCAGCAAAACCATATCTTCTACTGATGCAACAGAGCTCATCATGTGTCAGAGTCTTGACCTACTGAGAGGATGTACCCACACACACAGCACAGCATGCAGGAAAAATATTCTTCAGACAAGCTACAGAAGTCAAAACCACGTAAGGACTTGTGATAGACTCACCTAAATAATATATAAATAAAGTAATCACCTTATTAGGTTTTTGTAAAAAAGCCATACATGCATGACAACACTGTAGCATTACCTTTCTGTAGATGAATGATGTCAGGAAAGTTTGCGAGCAGGCCTTGGTAGAGTGACAGCTTATCCAGCATATGGAAGAGGTCGTACTTTGGTTGCTCTGCAAACATCTCTCCGATGTTTTCGTACGTGCGTCCAGTATGGGAGATGGCGTTGTTGAGGGTGTCTGACCTGTAGGGTGGGTCCAGAGTGAACGCCTGGCTAATAGACTGGAAGGAATTTCCCAAGCGCTGGAACTCCTTCCTGAATCCACCCAAGTGCTTACGCACTAGCTCTGAGGCGACATTTGTGAGCTGCAACACACTGTCGTCCATTTTCCTGGCAAAACTTTTAAAGTTGTCCACCCTCTCCTCAACATCCTGCAGGTCCTGGTGCTCAGTGGGGACTTGAAGGGTCAGCATGAAGTGGGCACCCACCATCTCATCCTTCTCTGCCCGCCTTTTACCCAGTTTCCACTGCTTATCTTCAGTGCACATCAGAAAATGCTCAAAGCCTTCATACTGGGAGAGGACTGGGTGGCTGGTCATGTGGTTCATCCACAATACTAGGCGCCTCTTACGCTTCTCAATGAAGTCCTCCTCAAACCGGCCCGTGGCCTGCTTCTCGGGGAGGTGAGGCACAGAGATCACAGTGAACTTGTGGAGTAAACGGTTGTAAAGCCAGTCGAAATGTTTGTACCGTCTGTAGACAGGGTGCCCTGTGTGGCTTGGCGTGACTCGATATGATATGTAGGTCTTGATGCCCTTGAACTTTGTCTGTTTGGTTGGGTCTTCAATGGAACAAGTGAACGGCTGAGGGCTGTCCTTCCACTGAGGCCCCAGTGTGCCCATCTCAATGGTATATGACTCAGCAATTTTAGCCATCATGGGCACATCCCCCAGCACAAATGCCTCTACACCTGAGCGGACAAAGCTGGAGAACCTGTTCAGGTTCCTGCCCACCATGCTGCCCTTCCTGGAGCTGGAGATGCTGTCTGGTCCAGATACTGACTTGTTCCTGTAGTGCATATTGGGACTGTTGGACATTTGGGCCTGGTAGGCATGTCCATTAGCCCCGGGACCCCTGAAGTTCTCAGCATCATCCACGACAGTAGACCTGTCGTCCCAGTCGTCCCAGTCATCGTAATCATCCTCGTCATAAATCTTCCCAGAATTAAAAGAAGTGTTTGGCGTGGATGGTAGATCGGAGGAGTCATTTCCTAAAGAGCCTGCTGGGCTTATGGAACAATCAGTCATGTTGGAGTTTGAACGAGTGCGAATAATTTTCACATAAGATGCTGGGAAGAGCCCCCTCTCCCCTCGGCTGTTCTCCCCCTGGAACCAGCCATCCACCGTGTTCTCATCAAAGATCACCACCTCCTCATTCTCCTGGATGCTAATCTCTTCTTTGTTTTCACTTAGAAAGGTGTAAACGGCCACAGCCTTTAAAGACATGTTTACACTCCAACAGGCTCTACACCACTAACTTCTACATGCACATGCTGCCCGGGTTAGGGGCAGCCCTACAGCACTTTTAAATGTGACTGCTATCAGGACAGGAGTTCCAGACATCCAGTTGAAGTTTACCACTAGTGAGAAACAGCGCTTCAAGGCCACCAACTGTTGATCTAACTACAAATATTTGCTCTTTATCACAAAGGAACCATGTTTCCACTTTCACATTAAAATACTACACGTTCAAACCCAAAACTGCACGAGAGGTTTGAATCCTCCAAACGTTTGCTGGTGGTCACTGACGTTCACTAATCAGACGCTTCCCATCGAGGAACCCGAGTCCAATCCGTGATAAACACATTCCCAGGACCGACACCCGGAGAGGAGAAAAACAGACGGGTGCGTCATGGCATCGGCGATCCGAGCCTCGTTCCCAAACTTGCAGCGTTTTCCTTGTTAAAAGGTTCCTGCGCGTCTTCACTCGATCCTCGGTGGAAAACAAACACTCCGATGTTTCCCCGGAATCAGCTCTCATCACCGGCCACTTTTCCTGGTAAAGAACCCGCAACGAGCCGCAACAAAGTAAGTCTTTCCATGACGTGATGGTCGGACGTTTAAGGGAAGTTCTTCTTTATGTTCCATAAAAGAAGCAAAACCAGAACAATGGCGCCGCCAGCAGGACCTATGAGCAGGACGAGCGGGGTCTAACGCACACACACACACACACACACACACACACACACACACACACACACACACACACACACACACACAGACACACACGCATACATATACATACACACATACACACGCACACTCACACACACATATACACACACATACACACACACACATATACACACACACATACACACACACACATACACACACGCACATACACACACACATATACACACACACATATACACACATACACACACACATATACACACATACAAACACACATGTACACACACACACGCATACATATACATACACACATACACACACACGCACACTCACACACATGTACACACACTCACACACACACACACACACACGCACATACACACACATATACACACACACACTCACACACATACACACACACATACATACACACACACACGCACACACGCACACACACACACACATACACTTGCACACACACACACACTAGGGGCTGCATGAATTAATTTTTATTAAAGTTGACAGTCAAGTAATGAAAATCGAGTCGACTTTGACTAGTCGTTGATGACGTCATACACCTGAAGCTGGGCGCGGGGGGGGGGGGGGGGTCGGTTGGTTGGAGTTTTTGACAATTAAAAAATGCGCCCACATTTTCAAAGTTAAACATCTCTTTTAACAACGGTTGTTACTGCATCTTGTTTCAGTTCTCTCCCCCCTCCCCCTGCGCAGCAGCCGCAAACTCACTGGTGTGCCTGCAGCCTCTCAGAGTTCCCGCTGCTCTAAACATTAAAATAATTATTTCATTTTCTGTTCCTCACTTCTGATTACCTTCAATGGTGTCTGTTGTTGCAACCACCAGGTACAAAAACTAACTTGTTTTTATTTGACTATTTTTCTGTCCTGCCTGTTTATTATCTTCCTGCATCTCCTCTCAGTCCTAAAGAAAAACTGCTACCTAGCTTCTTGTCCTTTGTTTGGCGACTTGAACACCACTTCTGCATTCACCTTATGAGTTACCTTTGAACTGCAGTTCTAAAAGATCTACCGACCGCAAAAACAGCGGAGTGCGCGCTGCTCGCCGACCACATCAGTGAGGTGAAGTTATTGGAGGACAAAACAGGTGATGCGCCCTGATCCACAGCAGCGAAAAGCATCAGGCACAAATAAAAGAATAAAATACAGAAAACATAAAAGGAAATGAGCCGACATGAACGATCGCGTGTTAAATTAGTTTTTGAGGTGGCAACACCTGATTTGATAATGTTACTGTGGCTGTGCTCAGGACGCAGATGTCTGGAGCACGTCAACAATCAGAGCTTTGCATGCGCAAGCTGGTTAAGGTGAGGATGGGGGTGAGGGGAATGTTAAATTGCACACACATATACACAGACACATATACACACATACACACGAACACTTGCGGTCGGTAACAAGATGGGGCCTGTGCTTGGCTTAGCCGCGGTCACAGGTCACTTTTTCAAACTTTTCTCCACTAACCTCCTCTTTTCCACTTTGCTCCTGCCTGCGATCTTCTTCAGTAGTGTCCCTGCTACCATCTCCTCTGATTGCCAGACTCTTTTGACCTTCCGTTCATTCACGATCGCCCAAGATGCACCGAGGACGTACCTCCCTGTTTGTTTATCTGAGTGGCGTGCTGGTCCGGAGCCAAACGACGATCCCAACCAGCGCGCCTCCTGCTATGTTTATTTGGTCCCGGGAAAACGTCGGAGGAAAAGAGGTAAACGAGCAGGAATCCAGGTGAGAATAAGACTTCTGTTAAAGTGTGGGTGATCTAGTAAACATCGGGGTGATCTTCTAGCTTCTTGTCCTTTGTTTGGCGACTTGAGCGCCACTTCTGCATTCACGCCAGGCCGCAATGTGGCGCGGTTTCTCCGTCCAAGTTTTTTAAGGTTGGTTATCCTCATTCCTCAGTGGTTTCTCCTCCTGTTCCGTCCATAAGTGGTTTTTATAAACACCGTGGATCTAACCCTGCTAATTTACGTCCACTAACTCCAGCTGTTTCTGTAGTTTCTGATTCCTCCACCTCACTCAGCATGGCCCTATTGAACACCCGCTCTGTTAACAATAAGACCTTCCTGCTCAATGATCTAATTCTCTCTAAAAACCTGGATTTTCTGTTTCTGACTGAAGTTTGGCAGCAAACATCTGATTATTCTGGTCTGATTGAACTCTGCCCGAGTGAATATTCTTTTCTTAGCCAGCCCCGGGGTTCTGGTCGTGGTGGAGGCCTAGCTGTTGTTTTCAGAGACCATCTTCCATGTAGCTCTACAACCTCTGGTCACTTTGCTTCCTTTGAACTGCAGCTGATTAAAGTCGGGCATAAGAACCCGTTCTACTATGCTGTGGTCTATCGTCCACCTGGTCCAAACAGTTCTTTCCTTCAGGAGTTTAGTGACTTTCTATCCTCCACTGTGAAGCTGTCCAGACTGGTGATTGTTGGTGATTTTAACATCCACGTTGATGATCCCTCGGACCACTTTGCCATGAATTTCTCCAGCATTATGGACTCCTTCAGCTTTACCCAGCATGTTTCTGGCCCCTCACACACCAGGGGGCACACGCTAGACCTTGTTTTTACCCTGAGTCTAAATGCTCACAGTGTTTGCCCTGAGGACATTTATATTTCAGATCACCATTGCATTTTCTTTAACTTGTCAGTTTCTGCGTCCCCACCTCCTGCTCGCCGTATGGTTAGTTCTCGTTTTCTTAATGAGAGCACAGATAGCAATTTTTCTGCTGCTTTTGATCCACCCTGTTTTTCTGATAACGACCCAGATTCCTTAACTTCTCAGTTTAACGAGCACTGCCTCTCCATTCTGGACAACATCTGTCCTGTCAGAACCAGATCAGTTCCTGCAGTGAACCCTACTCCCTGGTTTACTGACAGCCTTCGCAGCCTACAACGCCAATGCAGAAAAATCGAGCACTTGTGGAAGAAAACCCATCTCCACGTCCATCTGCTGCACCTTAAGGATCTTCTGACATCCTTTAACTCTGAAGTCAGAGACGCCAGGGTTTCCTATTTCTCCAACCTGGTGTCCCAGAGCAAAGGGAACCCCAAGGTGCTGTTTAACACCATCAGCAGCATTGTCTCTTCTGTCTCTCCTACAGCCTCCATCCACTCTGTTACAGACTGTGAGATTTTTCCGTCTTTCTTTGTGGACAAAGTCAATAAGGTTAGCTCTAACATCTCTCCTTCAGCCTTATCGCTGCCTCTCCCGACTCCAACCAGGCCCATCAACCTAGATAGCTTTGCTCCTGTTTCTTTGCCTGAGTTAACCAAACTAGTTAACTCTATGAAGACCTCTGCATGCCCCCTCGACATCTTACCCTCATCTTTGTTTAAAAGTGCTTTTCAGTCCATCGGTCCAAGCGTGCTCTCTACAGTTAATGCTTCTCTGGTTTCTGGTCAAGTCCCTGCTTACTTTAAGAATGCTGTAATCCACCCGCTTCTTAAAAACCGAGTCTTGACACCTCTCTCCATAGCAGCTTCAGACCCATCTCTAAACTTCTGTTTATCTCCAAGATCTTGGAAAAGGTTGTGGCTAAACAACTCACAGCTGCTCTTGATGAACATAACATCTATGATAGCTTCCAGTCAGGTTTTCGTAGAGCTCATTCTACTGAAACAGCTCTTCTTAGGGTCTCTAATGACCTTCTGAAGTTACTGTAATGTATTTCCTGTATTCAAACTGGACCAAACGCGTAATCATTTTTGCAAATGATGTTTGTTTCCTTTAGTTTCAAATTTATGCAGCAAAAACCCTTTGAAACATTGATGTAATAAGTGGTTGTGGTTGGTCTGGTTTGGGGAGTAGAGATGTCCAGGAGTCACCAGAACCAGTAGCAAATCAAGATTGGAGGGTGTTAAGTAAGATAACAAGGATGGATTGCCTGGATAGCTAGGAGTCATTAGAACTGATAGCCATCAAAGACTGTTAAAAAAACACTCCTTTGATAGATAAAGAGCTTTTAAATTACATCATCCAACAGGGAGGGTCATCAAAGCATTCCTTATTTTCCATGGTGTGTGTGTGTGTGTGTGTGTGTGTGTGTGTGTGTGTGTGTGTGTGTGTGCCGGAAGATGAGTGTTGTGAAGGGGTTTTTATTCTCAGACTGTTTTTAAATTCTGGGGATGGGTATGCGGGGCCTTTTAAACTTGTTAAGCACTTTGATTTACATGCATTGTATGATTAAGTGCTATATAAATAAAGTTTGATTTGATTTAATCAATAAGAGTAATTAAATATTGCCCGCGGCTAGAAAAGAAACAGTAACAGAGGTCAAAGCCATAAACCAATCACCTTAGCTCCTTCCACGTTTCAAAAGTGACATTGGGTACTTCTTTCTCTCACTGAATGGTGGGCTGTTCATGCTGGATGCTGTTTAGTAAACTTCTCTGTCTGTAGCATGGCGCTGCTGACCAGTAGGAACTGAGGAAGAGAGTGAGCTCTCTCTGTGTGTGTGTGTGTGTGTGTGTGTGTGTGTGTGTGTGTGTGTGTGTGTGTGTGTGTGTGTGTGTGTGTGTGTGTGTGTGTGTGTGTGTGTGTGTGTGTGTGTGTGTGTGTGTGTCCTCTGCATCGGAGCTTCACCCCAGCAATCTCAGGGGAGAAAGCAGTGTGAGTGTGGCAAAACATTATGACGACACACACAGCTTAGATCCCTTCCCAGATGCCTCAACGCCCACGCATATCCTGGGCCATCTGACCTCAGGAATTCACATGATAGGGTGGGGCCAGGCTTCACAATGAGCTCACCCGAAACTCTGGCTGAATAGGACCCACTCCCACCCTCACACCTTGGCTCATGTGTTTATGTAGAAGATCATCAGGGTGTCTTTTGTTCCCTCCCACTGGGTTTGAATCTGGGACTCTCCACCATTTGACCTAACAACTGAAGAAGCCTCTCGGATGAGAGGTGAAATGTCTTCAAGCAAC